CCCCAAAACCCCAAAACCCCAAAACCCCATCATGCGAAATAGTTTTCAATTGTCAATAAGGTAGAAAAATAATTTGATAATAAAATATTTCATAGACAAATTAGACTTATATGTATAAACTTGATTCCATTCATAGGCAACTGAAAAATTCTATTTTATCAATGAATGAACATTCCTCTTTTTAACATTTACTTGGTAGTTCTTTCGTTTTGCATTGCCATTTTGGGATCTAGTTTCCCACTCTTATATTCTTATGCAACCTCAATCGCTAGTTTTACATTGTCATTGAAGTCTGCAGCTTTGTATTGATAAAGAAGAGGGATTACCCCTGGCTCTGCAAAATCTATCTCTTTTACCTGATCTATAACATTCCAAAACTCTTGCTTTTTTATATGCTCTAGCAGTAATTTATAATCAGTATCATTTTTCTCCTTTGGCCATTGGTCTTCTACTCTTTTGCAGAGATGCATAATCTTCAAGAGTTTTTTCTTTTATTCTTTTTTCTAGGTCTCATCCATTATCACTTTCAGCACAGTCTTGTTATTATTCATCAATTCATCACTTTTCCCCTCTCTTATACTCATTAGAGTTTGCTTTCGCTTTAGCATGATCGGGTTAGCGTTGCCCTCATCATGGTTCATTACTTCTAGTATCTCCTTGATTTTTTCATCTTTTTTACTCTGATTTTTCTAGATATACTCCTTGACATTAATATAGTTCGTTGGGTACTACTTCACTAACTATCTCACATCTGAGTCATTAATGGATGGTGTCTTTGCCTTGAATTGTAAATTGAATCTCGAATCAGGTCTTCTCTGATCAGATGAACTATCATTAGCCCTATTAGATTTTTAGTCCAGAGCAACACTATTGAACCTTCGTTTTGAGAAGAACTTAGTGGGTATAAAAGATGCGTTGAAGTGTTTCAGGAAATCCAAGTTATTTTTTTATTTAAAAGCTTTGTCCTAACTATGGCTCTAATCTAAGTTCATCTTACTTGATAAATTATGGATGTTTGAGTTTGAATTCTCATCTTAATCTATTTGTGAGGTGTTTCTCTATACTCTACCGATATTTCCAGCCATATTAAGGCTCTTACTTAGCAGATTATTAGTCTTAGGTCTCTTTTGCATGCTAGACGTGCGCATGCTAAGCCGTTATGAAGCATTTTATGACTATCGAATTGATATGGATGTATCTACAATTTGAAATTTCTTAGTAGGTGTGTCTGGCTAGTAAATAGATGAATTCAAAGTAGACTCATTAAGGGTAATTTACTGCTGCATTTTAGATTTTAATCGGGAATTGCTAGTAGCTGCAGTTTGCATATTGCCACGGTTAAAAGAGTCTGGACGGGAAAATGGGCCATTTTAGCCACTGGACATTCTCTAGCCAGTTCTCATCAGAGAAATGAAGGTTTTCTCATCTAATTGGGGATCATGCATTTGCATCCCCTTGCTATTCATGTCAAATGAGACGCTGGCATGATGGCCTACAGATCTATTGTTTTAGGTATTAGTACTCACTGAACCACCAGCTGTAAGTCTAGCAGTGGTATGAGGCTTGCTATCTTAAGAAATATTATGCAGTTGATTAATGATTTTAGGAGTGTTTTTTAGTTTTAGGTTGAATTTGAATAGATTGCTGCTTACACTTTGAGGTCGGTAGTCAACAGTCTTAGATTCCATAGACTGCTCACCGAACTCTATTGTATGATTCTCAGTCTTTGACAGCTTCTTCATCTTCTCCTCACTCTGTGGTAATTATGAATTCTTTTTCATGATTGATTTCCTGATTTAATCTTTTTCCCTCAATTTCTTATTTTTCTTAACCCACTTTTGCAGTTTAATCTCAGCAGTCTATCTCGGACTTAAAAGCTCTTCGTTTTCATCACTGGAAAGCTCAATCTGTTCGAGAGCTGAAATGTCACCATTAAGTATAGCTTTTTACTTTAGTTTTATCTTATTTTCCTTTTCTATTCGTTCTTATTCCTCTCTTATCAATTTTACATGGAATGGCTCTTCGAAAGCTACCATCTCGTCATCTTTAAGTCTTTAGACTCTTTCTTTCTTGTAAGTGTAAAAGTAATTCTTGGAATTGCAGTCCATCTAAAGCTTGGACTAAAACGTCATTTTTTCGTTTTCATTAACTTTCAGCCCATATTGCTCTCTGATCTCCTTAAGCACTCTTTCGGTTTCTTTAAACTAACTAACATACTTTGCCTGTTTTCTAAGCATATTGGACAGTTTCTTATCCTAATGTTCCTTTTCATCCTCTACGAAAGAATTCAGGTTTCGTTTTACAACCACTTGAAACTTATCTGGGTCCTTTTGAAATTAATGCTGCATAATGTGCAAATGCGAACTCAGTTTTTATCGTTCTTAATGGTAGATTTCGTCTATGGGGACAAAATATGCAGTTTTTTGGCTGTGATCAATTTTAACATCAAATATGTTAATGCCTTGATCGTCCGCTTGAGGACTCGTTAATTTATTACGATCTCCTCTGGCTGAATTTTGCCGACTCACCGAAGAGGACTATTTAACGAGGGCAGGCTTATGAGACTCTGGGACACTTAGGTTATTCATTTTTCTTATTATTTCTACTACTATTTCCTTTTTATGATTAAATTCTTTTTTATTCCTAATTACATCTTTTTAAATTATCTACTAGGGGTTTTGGGGTTTTGGGGTTTTGGGG